CAACAGGACTCTTTCGTCAACCATTTCTTATCCATAATTTCACGCCATTTTGGTCCATCCATCCTTTCTCGTCAGTGTGAATGGAAACAAATTTTGGGAAATTATATTTCAGCATAGCTTCTTTTAAAAATAACTACGAGTTTAAATTTTGTGCTGTCAGCTAAGCAGGAAAGCACTATGGTGAGCGAGATTTTTCTTGACCTGTTCTTTTTTTCAAACCATTTTTGTTCCGTTCTCATTGGCTGTTTTCTTTTCCGTCATATCAAACATTATTCCATCTCCATCCATATTTCCAATATATAATAATTTTTTGCCGTAAGTCAATAACATATTTCTGAAAACGTCCTTTTTTTTTTGTCAGTCTTTCTGAAGCCTTTGCTAAACTTTTGGTTTTCTTGTAGAATTAAATTATTCCTTGCCATAAATTGGCTACATCAACTCAAAGTTGCTTTAAGGTTTTCACATTCTTTGCCCACAATTAATCCATTCTGATGAAATATTGGGTTAACCACTTTGTAACACTTTCTAGGATGTGCCATTTTGTTATTTCTTTAGCAAAGCACATTTATTCTTTAACACATTAGTTACTATGATTTCATTTTTTTCATGCAAATATAGCTTTCATCAACATCAGACATCTTTGCTGTAATACGATTATGACTTCATATTTGAAACTAATACTGTGTTTGTGTTGTTTGGTGGGAGCCATATTTACTACTAAAAGAAACACTAAATCGACTATGTTTCAACTAAAGCAAATGGGATTTACTAAAGCCTTTGATGTTCACTTCAAAATTGTATCTTCAAATGACTAAAGAAAGAGAAAGCATAAGACTCCTAATTCTGCAAATCAGTCGGTCAGAAATGCATTCTTATCCCAAATTGTGTTCCCTTTTCTCAAAACTCTAGAGTTTAGAATAATATTCTCATACACATTTCCACTGAACACTACCCACTCTCTTAAGCATTTTACTGACACGTATATTGTTCCCATTATCACTTTTCAGTATACTCTTCTTCAAAAGGCTAGGAAAGATTTTTCAAATGAGTTACTTGAAAAGGTAAGAGATTTGTATCTTTGAGCTTTCTTGATAAAGGAAAAGGTATGCATTATAAAGCGAATGTACCTAAAAATTTTAAAATGGGGTTTGAAATTATAGATACATGTTAAACACTGGTGTGCTGTATATGCTGAAATATATAGTGTGTGTATGTATATATTTTATATACATACATACACACACCAAGATGGGTAAGATGGGTAAGAAGGTGGATGCATGTGTATATATTTTATATACATACACATGCATCCACCTTCTTACCCATCTTGGTGAGCTGAGTTTTTATTCTTATATATTGATATGATGTTCATTTTTTGTTTTAAAAGTGAATAATTTATGTTGTTCGTATGTTCCAGTTAGTTTTTATGCCTATAGTTAATCTGTAGTAAAATTATCAACAGTTTAAAAGTGCAAGTGGCTCTAGGCCTAACCTGGCTGCTATTTGTTTACTGAAACTCTTAGTAAGATAGTGAATTAAATCGGTTGATGTATGTATCTCCCCTTATCAAAACGGTTTTAGAAAAGGAAGAGCAACTGTCGATAATATCCTACTTTTAGAAACAGGTATCCGTAGAGCGTTTGTTAGAAGAAATCATTGTTTCCATTTTCTTTGATATAGAGAAAGCCTATGATACCACCTGGAGATACGGTATCCTTCGTGACCTATATAGCAATGGTTTACGAGGAAACATGCTGATATTCATCAAACATTTCCTACAGGATCGGAAGTTTCATGTGAAGATGGGCGATACACTCTGACATGTTCCATCAAGAAGAGGGTGTTCCGCAAGGAAGTGTATTAAGTGTTACATTATTTAGTATAAAAATTAACTCTATTTTAAAACAACTGCCTCCAGCAGTCCAGGGTATGCTCTACGTCGATGACCTGCAAGTCGGTTGCCAGGGAGAAGACCTGAAAGATATCGAGTGTAAACTGCAGACATCTCTCAATAGAATTGTTAAATGGTGGCAGGAAAATGGTTTTAGATTCTCTACTCAAAAGACTGTGTGTGTACATTTCTGTCGAAAGAAAATTCCTCACCCTGACCCCGAACTTCATCTGCAAGATGTGCTGATTCTTGTAGAAAAGGAAATAAAATTCCTAGGAATGATATTTGACCATAAGCTTATGTTCCTTCCTCATATTGCCTATCTAAAAAAGAAATGTTTAAACACTATGAATATTCTGAAAGTACTGTCAAATATTTCTTGGGGCTCAATGCTTCTTATATATAGAGCTCTCATTCGTTCGAAACTAGATTATGGATCAATCATTTATGGGTCGGCAAGACCTTCAGTATTAGTCAAACTTGATCCGATACATCACCAAGCACTTTGGATATGCACTGGTGCCTTTAGAACTTCTCCAGTGGAAAGCTTATATGTGGAAAGTAACGAGACCTCCCTGCGGTTAAGACGTGAAAATCTTTGTTCTAAGCATTATTTCAAAGTCTTATCACAAACCGAAAATTCTACGCAGTCAAAATTGCTTAATGACCAATATTCCCATTTATATCGGGCACGACCATAATGTGTCCCATCTTTCGGCTTGCGGATGAGTGATTTGATGGAGGAGTATAATTTGTCTAATATAGATATACAGGTGGAGGATTTTTTTTTTTTTTTTTTGGAATTCCTCCCTGGGAGGATTAGAGAATCCATTCTCTGGATACTTTTCGACACTGGAGTAAATCGCAAACTAACGAAATCATTTACAAGCAGATTTTTTTGAACATAGAAACAAATATAGGAAATGTATCCCTCTATATACAGATGGATCAAAATCCCAGGATCATGTTGGTGCTGCTTTCGTCACAGAGAAAACAATAGTAGGGGTTCGATTACATACAGTTTGCTCTGTGCTTACTTCTGAGCGTACTGCAATCCATCTGGCTTTGACTTACCTTTCAAAACAAAAGAACATAAAGTTTATTATCTACACATATTCCATGAGTGCCTTAATGTCATTGGAAAATCACGCTCAATGTACTCACCCAGTTGCAACCAGAATCCTGAAATTGAATCATTCTTTAAAAATTCGGGGGTTCCAGATTCTTTATTTAACGCTGGACACGTTGCCATTAAGGGGAATGAATTGGCGGATACTGCAGCTAAAACTGCAACCACAATGTACAATCTTCAGATTCTACTAGCAGACATCAAAGGGTTTGTCAAAAGCAAAATTCTCAGCAAATGGCAGAAGCAATGGGATGACAAAGTATATAATAAGCTGAGAAATGTAAAACCCACCATTAGATACTGGCCATGTATGGCTAATAGAAGGGAGGATGTCCTCTTGACTCGAATGAGAATTGGCCATTGTTGCCTGACCCATGAGTATCTTCAGAAGGGAGAAGAGAATCCCAGCTGCCCAAACTGCAATGCAGGTCTGACAGTCCATCACATCTTGGTGGAATGCCAGAGTTTTAATTATTTTCGCCAAAAACATTTTAATTGTTCAAAACTGGACTTGGGAAATTTAATTGGAAAAACACATCATCGTAATTTGTTTCTGTTTTTAAAAGATATCGGCTTTTATAATAGACTTTAACCTGTTTTTTAAAAGAAATCGGCTTTTATCATAGCTTGTAATCTGTCTCTTTTTACCTAAGCTGGAAGTTTTTACAAATGACTAATTGCATTGTTACCATTTGTCTGGCGCAGATAACCTTGACAGGTTTTGTGCCAAATTACAATAATCCAATCCAATCGGTTGATGTATCAACTTCAGTGTCTTTTTACCCAGTAGGATAAAAAATTAGCTTAGTTTTTTGTGCACCAAAGAATCTTGTGTACCTGCCTGTTGACCGAATTGCTTTTTTTTGTGTGTGTGCATTAAAACCAGTTTTAATTTAGCTGCATTTGGTATTTTAGGGTTTTTTTGTGCTTTACAATTTTTAATGCAGAAGTTTTGAGCTTTTATGTATTTTTCCCTTGCCATGGAGTGAGAACAAAATTGATTGAATGAGAAATATGCCTGTAATGAAATTCAAGGAAATAAGTTTAAATCAAATGCAGTAGAAAATATGCATAATTTAATAGGCTATACTAGGATGTCTCATGGTGTTCATATCAAATTTTTTTATTTGGCAATTAAAACTGTTTATTTTCATATCGCAGCTATTAATTTTTTGTTTCATGTGAGACAACTGTTGTTAAAGTCCCTTTTAAACTGAAGATTTCATTTTTAATCAATCGCCATTTTTAAAACTTTTTCTTTGATTAGGAAAATACATTATAAATTATGGAGATGACGGTCTTTCTTTAAATGTCTTCTGAAAATTATGTATAAAGTGGGAAAATTTCCTTACTTGTTGGAAAGATACTTAAAGAAATGGGTATTAATGTAAATGAATGCCATGTGTTAAGTCTATAACGTCTCTTTGTATTTGTTTGAAAACATGCATTTCAGTTCCTTGTTTAATATACAAAATTTGAAATCTCAAGATAGAAAGGCTATTTTAACTTAAAATCCAAAATGAAGCTTTTTAAAAATGGTTTTCATTTTTAAAAGCCTGATAAATTTGTGATTAAAATTTTTTAATTACTATTCAGTTTTGATACAATTGTTCAACATGCAAGTAGCTTTATTGTGCTTTGCCATATCTAAGAAACAAATTTATATTTAATTGGGAGAGAAACTTGACAATGTGAAACTAAGAAAAACAGTAAATTTAAATTTATGTAGAGTTAACACTTGTATGTTCTGAGGACAGTTGAGACATAGTTCTCTCTCCTTCAGACGCAAATAATTTTTGTAGTGATGAGAATAGAAATAGCCTTACTATTATGAAGTAAAACATGGACCCTTCTGTGTGATTTTAAGTTTCTATTGATATTGCCAATACTTAGCTATGAAATCAGATCATTAAGTACTTAATATATAATATTTAGTTTAACTGTAAATATCATGTAGTGTGATTTCTAAAATTGTTGCAGGTTGCCGAAGAGAGGCTGTCAAATATTCGTACTGTTCATGCATTTGCTAGACTGAATGAAGAGTACGATCTGTTTCAATCAAAGGTAAATTCTATTATGCAATTTGCAACCAAGGAAGCTCTTGGCAGAGCAGTATTTTTTGGCATGGTAAGAAATTTATTTAATCAAAGTTAATGTTTATTTTACTAAAAGTGTTGTTTTGTGAAATTTTCTGTAGAAAATGTTTTATATATCTGAAAAACTGTAATCATGTATGTGAAAATCAACAAAATATTATTACAGGCAGAAACATTAATTAACTATGTACCAGTTTTTCTTGTACACTACCTGCCATTGAAAATGTAACAGCAAGAAGGAGTGGCCAGAAAGTGATGAAACTTGGCAAACTGGAGAGACATCAATGAACAATAAGTGATCTTTATTTCAAAATGATATGCATAATACAGAGAGAGAACAGCATCTGTTCAGTAGGTTGTAGAACCATCTTGGATGGTGATACATGAAGCAACATGGCTCAGAACAGAGTCAATGAGACTACAGATAGTGTCCTGAGGAATGGTTCTCTATTTCCTGTCAACCATTTGTCACAGTCATCTTCTAAATGCAGCAATGGCAGAGTCTGCTAATAGGGTCCAATCGCATACCAAATGCAGAGTTGCCAACTCTTCCGATTTAGGCGGGAGACTCCAGATTTTCAACCGATGTTCCGCCAACCTGATTTACAATAAATTTCTTCAGACTTTTTTTAAATCTTAAAATTTCTCATGATTTTTATGGAACTTGGCTTAATACTTTGTTATATGAACAAAAAAAGTGATTTTGGACGTCTGAAAGCAATTGAATTTTCTCTACATTATATCTAAAACAAAACCTTGCAAATCAGATAACTTCTGCTTTGTGACTGAGAGCATTATACGTATCCCAGAAACGTTGTTCTCCAATGGGCATCGAACTCCGCTGCGTGTCAGCTGGCATATGTTAGCCAATGAGGACAAGGCAAGCTGTTATTTGGATGTTCTTTAATTATTTCGTTCAATTTGTCCTGAGTTGTGCGAGTGCACGTGCCTTCGGGAAATAGTTTTAGAAATTATCATCTTTTGTTATGTCTGCGAGAAAGGTGAAATACTCGTGTACGTTTCAAAAATCGTACACAGTTGACTTTTCTTCCATTATTTCCTCAAGGAAATGTAATAAATTTGTGATGTGTACCGCCTGTCGTTTCGATTTCGCAATGTGGAAAGCCGGATGTTCTAAAACATGTGCTAACACAAGGATAACATGAGTTGTTTTTTAAAAAAACGAAATATTAAATTTTTCTTCGGAAACAAAGGACCAAAAAGTTATTAATGCAGAATGTCTGTTCTCTGCATTTTTACTGCAGCACAACCTGCCACTGAATGTATCGGATCACGCCGCAGCTTTGTTTAGAAAAATGTTTCCCGATAGTGAAATTGTTAAGAAATACTCAAGTGCAAGAACCTAAACAGGTGCACTTGTTAAAGAAATGGGTTTGAAAACTAAATCTTCAGTTATTGATTGCACTAAAACAGCTCCGTTCTGCCTCTCTGTGGATGGAAGCAATAATACCGATTCAAAACTGTATCCAATTGTTGTTTCTTTTTTTAATCCAGAGTCTTCAGAAATTGAGTGCAGTTTACTTTCTGCCCCCACTTTAGAAGGACATTTGACAGGTGAACTGTACTCAGGAGCTGGTTGACTTTGTGTTTAATAACACGGATTATCATCACAAAGATATTAACTTTATTATGTATTTATTAATCATTTTGTTGTTGTAAAGAAGCGATCTGGCTCCAAAACATTTTAAATTCTCAATCACAAAGCTGTAAAATCTGTTACAGCAAGTATACAAAAGAAAAAGAATACTCAATTCAAATTACGTAGATCGAGAGTATAACGCGCTCGAAGCGCCTCCTGTCGGCAACTCTTAATCACTACTGAACATACTCCCGAACTTGAAACCTTACGGTTTTCAAAATATTACAATTAGTATATACTGTTTTAAAGCACAATATAATAACAAACAATTGTAAGCAATAGCAATACGATGCACTGTAAAAAAAAAGGTTTGCTCTTTACAGGCAAAAGTTTTGTAAAGTTACAGAAATCGAAAAGTTACCATTACAGGAAATTCTTGTATAACAGGTTGAAAGCAAACTGTGCCGGGCACAGCTGATTTGCTTGTAGCATTACAGATAATGTTTCAGAAGCCGCGCTGAAGAATCACATGACTGACTGGAAATTAGCCAATCAGGAGTAAATTGTTTTAAAGCTGGTTGCAGAAAAAAAACATGGCTGAATGCATGTTGGTTGTATAGCGCAGGTAAGTAAGAAAATGTTTACAATTCTGTTTAAAATATTTTTGTTCATTTTAAGCAAATTATTCTCATGCACTTTGCACTGTTATATATAGTGAGTAAGTATTTTAACATTTAAGCTTTGCGATTAATTAATATCAGTGTTCGTAATGTTTAATGAGTTGAAAGAGTGCAAAATCTTTATTCCAAATGCAGATCTAATAGTAGTATTTTGTCATCGTCCATCCGATAAATTACGCCTTAAATTGACCGCATTATTATTTATAACTAATTATTCCAAAATTCAATCACTGTTGTGGTATTTAATTGAAACGGTAATGTGGTTGTTGAAAGCAGTATTAATCGTGTTAGCATTCGTTTGCAATCGTCTGACCAAAGAACGCCGATATCTTTTTGATATCTTTTTCCGGCAGGCCTTGCGAGAAAAGTTTATGTAAACATTTAGAATTCTGAATGTAATGTATATATTTTTGCTTACTAAGGCTTTTAGTTTCTTTTTCTTTAAGGATTACCTGATTAATTACACTTGGTTTATAATTCAGTCTATAATATGTACAAGATGTGTTTTATGAAGTAAAATTTCAAAAACTTGAACAACACGGTCTGGTGCGAGAATCTCGTTTATTCTTTAGAGTAATAAGATTGTATTTTCAATGGTAATAATTTCTTACAAAAATGTTACAATTCCAAAATGAAAGTAATTATATTGATTAAAAATATGTCACATCATACTTTTCTGTAATGTTTTGTTTTACTAACTAAGATGCAACTTAATTAATTCCATATATTTTAATATACCAGATATCAACAAGTGGAAAGATGGAAATGACCTAAAATGTTTTTTTCTAAAAATTCGTTAAACTCCAAAATTAGTCCAAACTAATGCAGAATTCGGATATCATTCAAATAAAAGAAAATTAATAAGGTGTAGACGTATATATGAAGATTTATTTTAATATTATTTTAAGTCAACTAAATTAATTTCAAATTTAAGTAAGTATTCATGCCTTTCAGTAGCATTATTTTTGAAAATCTTAAATTAAATAACTGAATGCAATATTTCTTGTTAATGAAAGAAAAGCAATGTTATGAAAGACTAGCGAAGTGGATTTGCAAGTTCTAATTGCGAAAGGTCCCATGCTCTAAGGGGTCATTTTCAATAGTTAATTAAAAAAAAGTATTTAACGTAAAACTTCCAACTTCATACATGTGGAATATTAATTTATTTGTTAAATTTTATGCAGTTTCTGATCTATGTTTTGATTTTGTTATTAATTACGTTAGGTTACATAAGATTTAAAATTATGTAAGGTACAAAAACCTTCTGCATTTATTAATGTATGCTGAAGTGACTGAAATTATGCCAGTGAAATTTTTTAAAATCAAAAACAAATTTCTGTGGAAAATTAAAGTTATAAATTCTAAGTGCAAACAAAGGAGTGAATTTAAAAGTTATCAAATAAGCCAAAGTGTTGGTAATTTTTGCAGTTTTACAGAAGAATTTTTATACTGTGCAGAATGGAAATATGATGTTTGGTTTTGTTAGTATTAATTGTTACAACTGAAGTATTGCAACTTAAACATGTAATTTAGCTTAAAATATATTTGAACTTAATTTTCTAATTTATTTTGATCATGTGTATTTCATGTGTCGTAAGTATTTAAAATGAACTTAATTCTCATCCTATTTATTAACATAAATTTTTTAAAGAAGAGTCTCATTTGTTTCGCTTAGTTTCACACGAAGATACGTGCCTCTTATATAAATAAGAGAGAAAGAGGAGTTATGTTTACTTGCAGACTTTTTTCCTCCTTTTTACTAATATTATAGTACAAAAATCAAGGGGGAAATTTACGTAGCGTATTCGGAAACTAAGTACCGTTACATTCTAGCGCCGTCCCAGCGCTATGGTAGGCGTCTCGCGCATGCACACTAGTCTTTCTTGTTCACTGAATTTCAATTGTCGCCATTTTGGTCACTCTGTTGTGTTTTCATTTTGCTGTGCACATTCAAAATGTTTAAGACAGTTAGTTCTCCCGGTGACTGTGAGATTCGTGCCGTGATTAAATTTTTGAACGTGAGGAATGTTAAACTGGCCGAAATTTATCTTCAAGTGACAGAAGTTTACGGTGAATACGCGATAAATGATAGAATGGTGAGAAAGTGGGTAAGAATGTTTAATGCAGGTCGAACAAATGTCCACGCTGAGGCTTGGAGTGGTCGGCCTTCTGTTGTCACCGATGATTTGGTAAGGAAAGTTGATGAAGCAATTCATGAGAACATATGCTTCAAAATGACAACTCTTTCAGAGGCATTTCCACAAATTTCATGTACTGTTTTGTTCGAAATTGTGTCTGACCGCTTGAATTATCACAAACTGTGTTCCCGATGGGTTCCAAAAATGCTCACTGATGTTCTCAAAATAAAGCAACTTGGTAGTGCCCTGACATTTCTCACGCAGTACAGTGATGAGGGAGAAAACTTTTTAAACCAAATTGTGACAGGTGATGAGACTTGGGTGTGTCATTTCACACCAGAATCGAAACAACAATCGATGGAGTGGAGACACACTCATTCTCCGAAAAAACAAAAGTTCAAAGTGACAATGTCATCACAAAAAATCATGTGCACTGTCTTCTGGTATAGGAAAGGCATTTTGCTTACTGAATTTCTTCCCAGTGGTGAAACCATTAATGTGGCACAATATTTAACAAAACTAAGGTGTGCCATTCAAAACAAACGAAGAGGAATGCTCAGTAAAGGAATTGTGTTGCTCCATGACAATGCTCGGCCCCATACTGCTGGTGTCACTCAATCGTTAATTCGACAGTTTCATTGAGAGCAGTTCGATCACCCGCCGTACAGCCCGGACTTGGCGCTGTCAGACTATCACTTGTTCCTGCACATGAAGCGCGAGCTTGGTGGCAAGCGCTTTGGATCTGACAATGACACGAAAAATGCTGTGGAGTCATGGTTGTCAGAACTGGTGGGAAGTTTCTTTGATGATGGTATGCAAAAACTGATCACCCGTTATGACAAGTGTTTGATCATTGGTGGAAACTATGTTGAAAAATAGTTTAAGACATGTATTTTCATGTAAAAATAAAATTGGATTCGAAAAAATTGTTTTACTATTTTTCTTTTTCAAAACGGTACTTAGTTTCCGAATACGCCTTGTAATTTTGAAGGATGTGATTACAGTAAGACCATAACCAATCAAAAATATTCATGAATTAACTACTAGTAACTATCATAGTATTATTATGTAAAAGAAACCTACATTCCAATAAGAATGCTTAGTAACATTAACATTTCAGTATCTGATAATAATTTTCATTCCTACTTCCGCGGCCGAGCGGTAAAGTCGCTGAACGCTGGTAGTTCGGTCCGAGGTTTGAATCCCGCGAACGGGCTGGCTGCATGG